ACTCAAGATCATACAATTCCTCTTGCTGGATTAGGACTTGGACCCATTTATTGTCTCATTGCATAACCTATGTGACGTTTCTGTTTAGAAAAGATTTTTGGAAAACAAAATAATAGCTAACCAACAATCTCTCAGAACTCCTATCTCATCTCTGAAGCAAACAAAAAATTTTTAAAAAATACACGAATTGGGACTGATGTTAAAAGTCAGACAGTGCTCATATGTGACACTGAGACACAATATTTTCCAGATTGAAACATTTTGCTGAGACACGTAAAAACCGAATGCATATATACTGTAATAACTTAAATGATTGGATAGGAGCTCCTTTAGACCAGGACTTTTTTCCTTTTTTAATTTGATTTTATTTTTTAAATTTACATCCAAATTAGTTAGCATATAGTGCAACAATGATTTCAGGAGGCGATTCCTTAGTGCGCCTTACCCATTTAGCCCAACCCCCCTCCCACACCCCGTCCAGTAACCCTCTGTTTGTTCTCCATTAGTTATGAGTCTCTTATGCTTTGTCCCCCTCCCTGTTTTTATATTATTTTTGTTTCCCTTCCCTTATGTTCATCTGTTTTGTCTCTTAAAGTCCTCATATGAGTGAAGTCACATGATTTTTGTCTTTCTCTGACTGACTAATTTCACTTAGCATAATACCTCCAGTTCCATCCACTTAGTTGCAAATGGCAAGATTTCATTCTTTTTGATTGCAGAGTAATGCTTTATTGTATATATACACCACATCTTCTTTTTTTTTCTGTTTATTCATTTTTGGGTTTTGTTTTTTGTTTTTTTTAAATATGAAATATATTGTCAAATTGGTTTCCATACAACACCTACTGCTCATCCCAAAAGGTGCCCTCCTCAATACCCATCACCCACCCTCCCCTCCCTCCCACCCCCCATCAACCCTCAGTTTGTTCTCAGTTTTTTTAAGAGTCTCTTATGTTTTGGCTCCCTCCCTCTCTAACCTTTTTTTTTTCTTCCCCTCCCCCATGGACTTCTGTTAAGTTTCTTGGGATCCACATAAGATGATAACATACGGTATCTGTCTTTCTCTGTATGACTTATTTCACTTAGCGTAACACTCTCCAGTTCCGTCCACGTTGCTACAATAGGCCATATTTCATTCTTTCTCATTGCCATGTAGTATTCCATTGAGTATATAAACCACAATTTCTTTATCCATTCATCAGTTGATGGACATTTAGGCTCTTTCCATAATTTGGCTATTTGTTGATAGTGCTGCTATAAACATGGGGTTGCATGTATGTGTCCCTTTGAAACAGCACACCAGTATCCCTTCGATAGATACCTAGTAGTGCAGTTGCTGGGTCGCAGGGTAGTTCTATTTTTAGTTTTTGGAGGAACCTCCATACTGTTTTCCAGAGTGGCTGCACCAGCTTGCATTCCCAAAGACTTTTTTTTTTTAATGTTTATTTATTTTGAGAGAGAATGGGGAGGGGCAGAGCGAAAGGGAGAGAGAATCTCAAACAGGCTCCATGCTGTCAGCACGGAGCCTGACACGGGGCTCGAACTCATGAACTTCAAGATCATGACCTGGGCCGGAATCAAGAGTCGGATGCTTAACCAACTGAGTCACTCAGGCACTCCAGGGACCGAGGGTTTTTTTACCATTTGTTTTAAGAAAACTAAAGTACCAGGTCCTTCTAATTAAGCAGCATTAGTGACACCGGCATCACGATTTTAAGTTGGGGATGAAGCAGTGTAAATAACACTGTTCCAGTTTAGTGTGGCCAAAAAACAAATTACCACAAAACATAGTGGCTTAAAGCAGCCACAGTCATTTTATTATCTCTTACAGTCCTGAGGGCTGACAGAGCTCGGCCAGGCGGTTCTCTCTTTCTAGTGCAATTCCAGCCAGAAGGTCACTGGGTCTGGAGTCATTGCAAAGCCTCCCTCACTTAGGTATCTGGCAATGGAAGATGGCGGTCGCTTGGAACTTCGGCTTAGACCGAGGTTGTCCAGAGCACCTCCATGTGGTCTTACTTCTCAGCCTGGAGGCTGAGCTGTTCAGTGTAAGCAGAAGCTACCCTGAGTGTTGTGATCTAGCATCAGACGTCACATTTGGTACCGTCAAAGCCCGATCCCATTCAAGGGTGGGGAAACTCAGACCTCTGCCCTAAATGGAAAATGTTAAAAAAAAAAAAGGGGGGGGGGGGGGGAGGGGAACATATCAAAATTAACACCGATATTGTAAGCAAACAAATAGAAGAATTCATAATGCAGGTCACTCTATAATAAAATTGGCCCAGACTCTTCAATATAGAAATGCCGTGCCTAAGAAAGAAAGAGCATATAGACTATTCTTTATTATAGGAGATCAAAGTGGTAATAACCAAACGCAGAGCGTAAACTTTGATTAGATCCTGGATTGAGGAAGGAAGTGGATTGAGGAAGGTAGTTCCCAAGTTCCACTTGGGAAAATTTGGGTTGAAATGTATCTTAGAATATACGCTTTGTATAGATTAATTTCTATGGACAACTTACTTTCAAATCATTCAGAAAAGAAGATCATAAAACGGAAGAGAGAGGTAAAGTTCAGTGTGGAAAAGTTCTAACAATTATTAGATCTACGTAAGGAAAATCTAGGTAAGAATCTTTTTTATGAATGTGAAACCTCCCCCGCCCCCCCAAACTGTGCTTTTCCAGTTGTAGTGGCACATTATAGTCACAAGGTGGCGATAGATTCGCTTTGAATTTAAGAACACTCCTGCTGTGAAAGGAGTATCCAGAAAAAATACTTTTTTTTAAAAAATTTTTTTCAACGTTTTTTATTTATTTTTGGGACAGAGAGAGACAGAGCATGAACGGGGGAGACACAGAATCGGAAACAGGCTCCAGGCTCCAAGCCATCAGCCCAGAGCCTGACGCGGGGCTCAAACTCACGGACCGCGAGATCGTGACCTGGCTGCAGTCGGACGCTTAACCGACTGCGCCACCCAGGCGCCCCTGAAAAAATACTTTTAAAAACTTATTTATTTATTTATTTTTAATTTTTTTTTTTTACGTTTATTTATTTTTGAGACAGAGAGAGACAGAGCATGAATGGGGGAGGGGCAGAGAGAGAGGGAGACACAGAATCCGAAACAGGCTCCAGGCTCTGAGCTGTCAGCACAGAGCCCGATGCGGGGCTCGAACTCACGGACCGCGAGATCATGACCTGAGCCGAAGTCGGTCGCCCAACCGACTGAGCCACCCAGGCGCTCCTATATTTATTTATTTTTGAGACAGACAATGTGAACGGGGGAGGAGAAGAAGAGAGGGAGACAGAGGATCTGAAGTGGGGTCCGTGCTGACAGCATAGAGCCTGATGCCGGGCTTGGACTCAGAAACCATGAGATCATGACCTGAGCTGCAGTCAGATGCTTAACCGACTGAGGTGTCCCCAGAAACAAATACTTAACAAAACATCCTCAACTGTTAGCTCTAGGAGATGACGTGTGTAAAAAATCTCGGGAGGTAAGAATCCCTGAAGAATTTTGCACTTAAGATTGAGTAGTTAACCTTCACACAGGCAGGCAGGAAAGTGGAAGAAACACTGAAACAGGAAGAAGCAAAGACTGACTGGGAGAAATCCAGTATTTAGTCCTGGCTCAATTAATGTTTAATTTTGTGACCTTACCCAAGCCACCTATAAGTAGCTCTCATGTGTAAAATGAAAAACAAAACAAAACAAAAAACACAAAACAAAATAGACTCAGGGATCTTTCACTTTCTTTTCATGTGTCAAAAAAGTCACGTCTCTTTTTGGTCCAACTTGCATATGGTAACTAATAAGGAACTTCTTGAGTCTAACTCCTCAGAGACCTTGACGCTAGAAGGAAATGCCTGATAACTTAATTGACTTTCTGTTGCTGAGACTAGTTTCCTACGGAGAAGGAAACATAGTTCCTCTTAAGATATACTGTACGTAGGGGCGTCTGGGTGGCTCAGTTGGTTAAGCGACCGGCTCTTGGTTTTGGCTCAGGTCATGATCTTGTGGTTTGTGGGTTTGAGCCCCACATGGGGCTCTGCACTGACAGTGTGGAGCCTTCTTGGGATTTTCTCTCTCTCCCTCTCTCTGCCCCTCTCTTGCTTGCTTTCTCTCTCTCTCTCTCTCTCTCTCTCTCAAAATAAATAAATAAACTTAAGAAAAAAAGATATGCATATATGATAGGAGATGCCATAAAATATTCCTGTGCACTATATCTGTTTGCTGTGCATGCATAGGTGTTTCTGAAAACATATATACATACATATAGTGGACAGTTCATCAGAGCCAATCACTCCTCTTCTGCTCCTATGCATTGTCACCCCACGTGTAAGCCACGTGGAAAGAGTAAAGGAACAAAATTATAAGGGATGAAGAGGCAGTGGGCAATAGGCCACAAGATAAAGATCTGGGAAGATTTAAATGATACATTTCTTTGATAAGGAAAGGAAATAGAGCTCGCTCTGACCAAATTATCCTGCGAATTTCGTCTTTCTCACCCTGCACCATTCATCTTGTTCATGATCCGTGCTACTTTTCTGACATGCCATAACCAGGAAGCTGGTGTCCTTTTAATCTTTTCGGGGAGCTTCGGAAGCAACCAGATCTTCCCTCTTTTATCATGCCCACCATTATCAACCCATTTGCAGCTCTTTCCCTCCTCAAAACTCAAGTCCATTCCATAGGGAAAACATATCTTCAAACTAAGTGACAAGTTTTACTGATCAGAAGTCCCTTTTATACCTCCCCCCCCCCCCCTTCTAATTTCTGGGGCTGAAGCCATAGAATTATTGAATCCTTCCATTGAAAAATGCCTTTGTGGACATCTAGTACCAATATCCCAATTACTAGGAGGAAATTCTGCATATACGCGACGTGAAGTATGGTACAACCAGAAATCACTTTAAAGGGTTATATGCAGGGGCGCCTGGGTGGCTCAGTTGGTTAAGTGCCCGACTTTGGTTCAGGTCATGGTCTAGCAGTTCGTGAGTTCAGGCCCCACATCGGGCTCTGTGCTGACAGCTCGGAGCCTGGAGCCTGCATCGGATTCTGTGTCTCTCTCTCTCTCTCAATCTCTCTCTCTCTCTCTGTCTGCCCTTCCCCCACTTGCACTCTGCCTCTGTCTCTCTCTCAAAAATAAATAAACACTTAAAATTTTTTTGAAAGGGTTATATGCAAATTGAATAAAAATAAATGGCGCCGATACTGGTTCCCTCCCCCTCCCTTTGTACCCACGCCCTTTGTAGTGGGACTTTGAACTTCCTCCCATTAAGACCAAAAGTCTATTACCTCCACGCCTTGAATCTGGTCTAGTTTTTGACTTGATTTGTCCAATCAAATGCGGGGAGAGTAACAAGTCCAGCTGCAAACCTAGAGCCTTCTACCTCTTGGAACTCTCCCAGCCACCGTCTGATTAACTTGAGATAGTCTGATGGAGAATAAGAAACGCGTGGGCCTATTAGCCAAGTGGACAGTAAGCCCACTGGCCCACAGCTGACTAAGGTCCCCCTAGCCCAGTCGGCCTTCAGTTGGTCAGTCAGCAGCCCCCAGGTACATGAGTGAGCCCAGACGAGACCAGCCAAACCAGCATCAGATCAGTAGAAGCTTCTGGCTGACCCATAATCTGGTGAGCAAACTAAGTCATTGTGTTTTAATCCACTGAGTTTTGAGGTGATCTGTCACGTAGCAAAACTTAACTGACGAAGGTAGCAAATACGATTGTATTTGTATTTATTGTTTCTCTTATAAGTTTATTTTGGCATTGTATAATCCCGTTAATTAAATGTGAAAAATGTAAATATAATTTGCTGAGGGTTCGTTTGCTCTGCTTTAACTGGTTAGAGATTTGGGACATTATTTCGGTTTGTTGTAGCAATCCCTCCTCTGTGTTGTTTTTGTCTGTCGCTGCCTGCTAACTGCAATGGATATTAATTCAGGAAAAAACACTGATAAGCCCGAAGCAGTTCAATTATATGCTGAGCCCCTAAGTAGTGTGAAAATTTGAAAATAAGTAAAATAAATGACCCGAAAGACCTGAATTTGTCTTAGCATAGTGACAAAATTGAGGGAGAAAGGAATGGATAATACATGTAATACAAAGTAGGTGGGTAAGGCCGAACGTACAAGATTTCATAGAAAACAACATCTACTGTGCGGAAACAATCACAGGTCACTTTCTAGAAGATAGACTTCATTTGAGTGTTAAAAATATTGGAAGTTCCCTAGGGGCGCCTGGGTGGCGCAGTCGGTTGAGCGTCCGACTTCAGCCAG